GTGAATCATTCTTATCCATTCTGTAATATGTATTTCAGTTCTCAATATTTAAAAAAATGTAGGTAGGATTGTAATTTGTACCGTATTCTCATTATAATGTATGACTTTTCATGACATTGAGAAAATGAGTAATGAGATAATATTAAATAGACGATTTAGAGATTTAGACATAGAGATAGAGATTAGAAGATACACATAATATCTACTATAAATTCATCTTAAAGATCTTCTAAATAATTTATAGAATAATGTGAAATCTATCAATTAAATTATTAAAAAATGTATGCAAGTTATGATATTATGAACATTGTATTGAACTGATCCTTAGATCCTTATGTTGACTTAATGTGCATAAAATGAATAATTTATACAAGTTATTCACAGTAGTATAAACTATCTTAATTTAAGAAATAACTAATAAGAAAGTTTTTAAAAAATAAATAATTATTGTAGAAGTATCTATTTATAGTTTTATTGGAAAGTAGAAACTAATTTCTTTAAAATTATAAGCATGACAAAAAATCCTCGAGAACTCTTTATAGTAGCAACTATATTAATATAGTGACAATAATTCGGCTATCGTCAACACCCCATCCGTTATATAATTTTTAAGAAAAAATATTTTATCATAGGTATTAAAATTTAAAATACTTTTTATACTTTGATGATATAATTAAAAGTTTGTAAATTGCATATACGTACTAGTCTGTTCGGCTAGCGATCCTCGTCCGGGGGACGGTGTATTATGATGAGACGAATCGCCGGCCGCATTAACTGGCAGTCCGTACAGCGAGCCGAGTTCATTTGACGAGTCGCTGGCCCCCTTCGAGGCACGTTGTTTGTCTGGGTGCACTGCGGTCGGGTGGTGATGATGGAGGTGATGGTGATGGTGATCATGGTCCATCAARCCCAATATGCCTCCAAGACCCGGTCGCAAATCGTCCATCATGAGTTTACCTGAAACGACAAATGCTGTCGATAAATACACACTGTACATGTAATAATATGAAATTTACGTGCAATATTTCAATTTATTATTAAATTATGTACGAGGGAAGGTAAATATTAGATTAGATTTTACAAAGCGTGTATAGAGTATCTACTATCTAGGCTTAACATTCCCCCCCCATTTTGGAAATTTCAATTTAAAAATATTATTTACCAATATTTGAGACAATATTTAAAAATAATATTTATTGTATATAAATCGTTGGAGTAAATTGAGCCTACCACTTGTGTTGAACTTGTGGTAGGCGATGGTAACGCTCATAACATTATCATTATTTTTGTAATTATTTATCAACTATCACAATCATGTTTTTTCATATCACCATGTTAGAACATAATAAACAGTAAGATAATTTTTTATGTTGTAAAATATTATATCATCATTTATCACCAAGAAGTGATTGTGATTATTGATATAAACTGTGTTCAAAATGTTATTGAAATATCGAATAAAATTAAAAGTATAATATAATAAAATAAAATATAGATAGGTACGCAATACCTATACCTACCATTATGTAATATACTAAACTTGAAAACATTGGTAAATTTTAGAATTTCAATAATAAAATAATATTTCTGATATTAATAATTAACTTCATAGTATACATATTTTAATAATACACGTACAAATTATAGTATAGTCAACTCAAGTAATACTGGTATTGTTTATTTGTATTGAATCTTTACAAGTTACTGCCTCACTGCCTTACAACTATTTATTTAATTGTGACATTGCTAAGGTGTCAATCTATCATACACATTTAGTTTGATTCTTCCTTCGTTAATATAACTTACTATTATAGTATTACCTATGTCCTATATTATTTAATACATTTGTAATTTCAACATCAATTTATTTATTCACATTAATTTTCTTAAATCTATATTATTCCTTGTTTAATTTACTATAAAATATTAGGTATTGTGTTTTTAACTAAACACAATTAATGTATACTGGTTATATATATGTGTGTATATTGCATATGTAACATGAGTGAATTTAAGACTAAAATATTAACGTTTTCATATTTAAGATAAAATGATTTATAGATAACTAATAATGTTCCTAACTGACCTAACTAGATTTAAATTTGATAATTATTTCATTACATATACCTAATACTTATTCGTTTTCAAGTTTCGATCAATGTTGTTTAATAAAAAAAATACATTAATAGTTATAGGTCCAATACATCATATTAT